AAAAAGAAATGCTTCGTTGTAATGGCTCCTTCCTGCTCTAAATTTACCCTCGGGTGGCCCACAAAAGGTATGCTACGTTGCAATGGCTTCTTCCTTTTCTACATTTTACCTTTGATTTGCCCACGACAGGAATGCTACGTTGCAATGGCTTTTTCCTACTCTAAACTGTATCTTCGTGTGGCCCACAAAAGGCATGCCACGTTGCAATAGGCTTCTTCCTATTCTAAATTTTACCCTCGCATGGCCCACAAAAGGGATGCGACGTTGTGGTCAGTTGGTTGGTTGCTGCTGGCAGGTGGCTGTTGGTTGGTTGGTTAGCAGGTTTTTTGCCGCAGGGAGTTCACACTAAAATGTTGATTTCGTGGCAGGCGCGGGTTTTGGAGATGAAGTGCAGATTTCGTGGCGCGGGGGGGGGGGGGGGGGGGGGCGGCCCCCCCCCAGCAGCGCACCAGATCCTAATAAAACAAGTGTTGGCTGCAAAGATGAGACTGTCTGCGCAGCGCGGATACTTTCAACAGGTTGATTGCTTTGTTGCTAGCTTGGTTGGTTCCTGTTCTTCTTCTTTGTTGTGGGTCGTGGCGATTGCGGTTGTGGTTGTTGTCGTTGCCGTTGGTTCTCGTTGCTGTTGTTGTGGGTCGATCCGAACTCGAACACGAACTGGTCCACCCCCCCTTGTATAAGTCCCTTAGTCGCCGATCCGAACCTCGAACCGGTCCACCCCCCCCGGCTCTAACTTTGTTCGCGCCGAACTCGAACTCGAACTCGAACCGGTCCAGCCCCCCGGCTCTACTGTAATTGTTGTCGATCCGAACTCGAACTCGAACTGGAACTGGAACTGGTCCACCCCCCCCGGCTCTAATTGTTGTCGACCCGAACTCGAACTCGAACTCGAACCGAACTGGTCCACCCCCCCCGGCTCTAATTGTTGTCGATCCGAACTCGAACTCGAACTCGAACTGATCCACCCCCCGCTCGCTCGATCTACGCAATCTCGCGCATCGAACTCGAACCCGAACTCGAACTCGAACTCAAACTCGAACGGGATCAGTTAGAACCACCTGGGGCACGGCCTGGCAGATGGGGTGTTCACGGCATGCAGGTTTAGATTTAAGAAGTGGAAGTTTAGTCCACGAGGTGATACGAGGCGTAGGTGTCACTCCATGTTTCAAAATCCCGGCCCGGAACGCTGTTTGTGCTGAGGCCTACACACGCTTAGTGGAGCGCCGTCCGGCTTTGCTGCGAGACATCATTGAGGCACTTGCAGGATTGGCAAAGAGGTGGCAAATGTAGGTTCTGTGTAGATGAATCTCGTATTAACAAGATGTTGTCGACAAGCTCATTTGTCCGTCAAGATTCAAGATCCTCAATCATTTGCTGGTTCTCAATGATAAGATTTGGGTTAGGTCAAGGTCCGTCCTCGCACTTACTTATTTAGGTTCGCTCCAGTATGCCCGTGCACATTTGATCGCATTCTATTCTCTTGTCGGGCACAGTGTTCAAGCTCTTCCAGGTAGTGGCACCACCTTCAAAGAAGCAGCGGCGCTTGAAGGGCGGTGCTTCCAAGTGAAGAGCTGCTTTTCTATGTTATCATTTCTCATCAAAGAAAAGCTTTCTGAGCACCTTGTCTCTTTAGCTTCCTCACAATCTGTGTCGCCTTGGCACCTGGTCAGATCCAAGAAGAGAGCCTAATTTTGGCAGTCCATTGAAGGCACATTAGCTTCTAGTTTTGCCTGTAGCTATTTATTTCCTTTTCTAAAATGCCTGTTCCATAAATACCCTGTGTCAAGCCCAATTTCCGGTCATAGTGGACATAGCCAATCAGCTCTTACATTGTCTTATATATATATATATTAAAATTTACTACAGTAGATATTTGGTAAAGGCTGCTCATTATATACAGTACATATTGCTCTAACATCTGAGCACTCTGCTGTTTCCTGCTGAGCACCCTTCGCGCTTGCAAGCAGACAACGCCAGCCGCCGATGCCTGACGTTCTTCTCTTTCCTTTAATCAATGCTCGAAACTGTTGCCAGACTGCTGGCCAGGCAGTTTTGCTTTGAACACTTTGATACTTGAAGGTGTGAGCCCCTTCGATGCAGTGGGTAAGCAATTTGATGAAGCTGGCAACGTACCCGAAATGATCCGGAATGTTCATGAGTATTTGTGAGCCAAGCTCCCCTCTCACAAGTTGAACGCAGTAAGTTCTGTGCAGATCAAGATGCTTGGGGACAACAACTTCTCAAAACAGGTTGTAAAGGGAACAAAGGACACTGGATACTAAATCAAGCACCATGCACCTGGTCTCTTTGTCAAGCTGATCCCAGAGTTAGTTGGAGGTAGTATACTATACAGTTGAACAAAAAACACTTTGTCAAATGCACGGATCTTAATTCGATTTCTTGCAGGGACAAGTGTCAAGAGGCTTTGCAAAAGCCATTTGATAGGAAAGTTCCTGCTTTGCATTGCATTAAAAATTGACGCAGCAGAGCATGTGGTTTTGCTTTGCATGGCATTCAAGATCATTGAAGCAGAACCTCATCAAGCATGCCAGGAGCGAGAGCGCTTGAGAATCCTGGCCGAAGCCATCTTCTTGTGTTTAGTTTTGCTTCGGCTTTGTTACTACTAGTATCATTCAGCAAGAACTTACTAGTAACAAGGGCATCGCTACTAGTAACAAGGGCATTACTACTAGGAACGAGAAGCTACTAGTAGCAAAGGGCATTACTAGTAGCTCCTCTCTCATAACAAGGGCATTTGCATGTCATACCTGAAGTACCCCATACCTTCGTTCTGCCGTGCCAGCTCCGTGCAGAAGAGCTAAGTGCGGCAGAGGCAGCCTTGTGCAGTCCTTTGTCCTTTGTTACTAGTAGCTTCTTGTTGCTACTAGCGTCCTTGTTACTACTAGTAAGGCACTTGTTACTAGTAGCGATGCACTTGTTCCTAGTAGCTTCTTGTTACTAGTAGTAAGGCCAGGAGCCCCTAGTCTCTAGTAGCGTTGCTCTTAGTAGCGATGCCCTTTGCTCCTAGTAGCTTCTTGCTCCTAGTAGTAGCTAGAAGCTACTAGTAACAATGGTAGGTTTTTAAAGAGATGCGCGCAGCCACAAGAACATTCATCGCCTGTGTGGCGCCATAAGCTGTCAAGGCTTTTCTGCCAAGATCGCAGGTTACAACTGCATATGTCGAGCAAGCTACAATGCACTGTTACATGAGGGGAATAGATGTCAAGAGCATGCCACGACATTCCCACTTTTATTGTTTTTGGACCTTTGGCTCCACCTGTTCCTTGTTGCGCTGATATTTGCAATGGCTTGTGGGTCTCCTGCATGTCGTCGAATATTGGGCGAAGATCTGTGGAGGAGGGAACGGGAATCTGTGTAGCCGGTGCGCTCCACGCCTTCATGGACATCTATGAATAAGACTGGGACGTCATGGACTTCGAGGAACTTTAAAATGCCATGGACTTCATGCCTTTTCAACAAGTCAGTCATTTAGTCTTGGAATCTCTTCTGGAGGTTCGCAGTCTTTGGGATGCACACGACACCAACGAGAATGGCTATTTGGACCAGACGGAGCTTGAAAGTCTTCTCATTCACCTTCACAAGGCCATTTTCACAGGGAAGAAGGCCTCTAGCACAAGGCCATAGCATTGTGATGTTTATTTTGGGGACATGCGCAGTTGGGCGACAGAGCACTTGCCCTTTGTTATAGTTGTCCAGTGGTTGAGAGGGTAGCTTGACGCCGCTTCACATGAGCTATGGTCGGAGTTTCCCTTGTCCAGAACTGGGGATGGACGCCGAAACATGCATGGACCCATTACAATGGCACTCACCAAGCACCCCGTGTCCTCGTAGAAGAGTTAGCTGGTCTTGGACCATCTACATTACATGTCACATGTCTCCTGTGAAGGCCCATTGCACGAGAAGATGTAGGAACGGTACTGCATCAGAAGCTACAAACTCAGGAGCCATAGGAATGCCTTATGATATGCAATCGATCAGAATGCAGACATCAGGACCTTTGAGGTTGACGCACGACGATAGAAATATATATATATATTCCTGTGGGCCATGGCCCAGAAGTGTGATATTTTTTTATGTTTGTCTTTGTTTCGCAGAAGCTTGGCGGCTCTGGAGATCTTTCAGAAGAAGCCATCAAACGCTGTGCAGAAATACTTCATGTGGAGAGTGGGGAGCTGCGAAAAGAGGCTGGCGAAACCCACTGGGAGCTCTCACCATGAATCCATTCCTTGGCTTTCCAGTTTCAATTGGCCAAGTCTGTATTGCAGGTTTTCGCAAGAAGATTCACACATCTTTGGTCTCAGAAGGACTCGTCAGATCAGCGGTTTAGCAACATGTTATATAGTCTTCAAGACACCGTACATATGCATCCGTAGGATCCCGAAGGGAATTCCAATTGTGAACCACTCTCAGCCTCGTTTGTTTCATCACATTTTGGACTTTCTGTTTTGATTGCCTTGTTAATCTCACAAGTTGCTCTGAGAACTGCAGGACAAGCTGTTGGAACTCTCTCCAAAGGCACGAGCAAGTCCCTCAATCAAGTTGCTGCTTTGTATTTTGGCGATGGGCCATATAACAACGAGGTGAAAGAAGCTGAAGGATGCTAAAGTGGCAAAGTAAGAAGGATGTTGTGGCTTTCTCCTTGAACATTCAGATATGATATATACCACATTCAACATCACGTGTTTATTTTAAGGGAACTTGCTAAGTTTGCAGGTGACAGTCGTGAGTGATACTTCCGAGCCCTCCAGCTCTGTGGGAACCTCATACATATACAATAATATACAGATACGCTTCAGGGTGTCTTCAAAGATGCTGCATCTTCCAGCCCTGCAGTCTGTCTAAGCGGTTCCTTTGCCATCACCGAGGTCAACCTGTGGCTTGCTGCAAGTATGCATGGTGTCGAAGGAGAGCCTTTTCCTGAAGGTAGTGTCTGTTGGGTGCCACCAAGTTGCAATGAGAGCATGTCCTTCGCTTTGAAGTTCTGTCGAAGTCTTTCGTGAAACATCGTTTCACCTCCGGACGATTTCCTTTCGGAGCGGCATCGCTACTAGGGGCTCCTGGCCATATTAGGACCAAGGACGCTACGCTGATATTGCCAATTCAATCAAACAACTCTCTATGTGCTTATCGAGCTTAAGAGCTTCACCGAGCCTTTCACCGAGGCGAGATTCAGCTGTGATGACAGAGAAGGAAGACTTGAGTAGCGTCAAGAAGAAGGATATCCCTGGAGCAAGCAAAGGCGTGCAAGAGCAACATGCAAAATACATTGACACGAGAAGCAACGACCATCCTAGCAGTGGCTTCCAGTGGATTCTATTGCTGGGGTACCCTCGGCACTTGCTGACACATACGTTCTTGACAAAGGCCTTCATTCTGCTCGGTTGCTGGTCTTGGGGCATGGACGAAGCAAGTCGCGGCTTCGTGTCCAAGATAGTTCAGGCGATGTTGGCTGGGTCAGCACCACATTGGAAGGCCGACTGCTGCTTGGCACTCCAAATGCGAGAACTTAAGCGAGAACGAATGAATGTTATCTCGAACAATGCGAGGGAGCTGGATCCGGAACGAACCCTGTATGTCAGCCACTTCTTCTAGATTCTACTCGCTGTCTCCTCCTGATTGGAAACAGACGTACCGTGAACCTTGTCGGCGCCCACACTGAAGGCTTCTCCAGCCTAGCTCTGCTTGGCTCACTGTCTCAGAAACTCATGAAAAGGAGGCCGTCTATCAGGCGATGCAGAAACTCTGGCATGCCCACAAAGCAGCCCAAGAGACGCTTGCCTTGAAAGCATCCTTACACCCCCAGCTGAGTCGCCAGTCTTCACCATGTAAGTATTTGTTCTGGAAAGGGAATCTCAAGTCTAGTCTAGTGGCACTAGTGGCCAACTGAACAGATTCTTAAGATCTGATGATCACGATGACTGTAAATGTAAAGCATCTGAGGCTTTGTGGAGATTCCTTGTTTCACTGTGTCCTTCACGATATTCCCACAGCGCAACAAAGAACAGAACGCTGAGGCAAGGTGCGAACCTGGCCTCGGAGCTTCTTGCTGCGCATCATCAGGCCGTCCAACAAGATGCCATCCGTTGGCGACAAGAGCAGGAGAGAAACAGAGCGCCAAAAGTGTAGAGAAAAGCCGCACTTACCGTAAGTGGAGAAAGAATGATAAGCAGCGACTGGGAGAGCTCTGGTGGATAGAAAGTCTGGGAGCAAGAACGTTTTAAACTTACATCGCATCCTTTCCTAGACCATTCTCTTCTGTACATTCTCGAGCTTCCTTGGGGATTGACGCTGGATGAGCAATGACAATCGGTGAAGGACATCGCAGAGTTGGAGGATGAACTGGATGAGGAAGAGAAGGTATGCAAAAGTTTTAAGCGTAAAGTGAAGGAACTGGAGCTGAGCATTGCCAAGGAGGAGCAACGAAACGGAGAGGCCGGGGATTCGCTTCTTGGAGGGTGCTTTCGTTGTCGTCATCAAAGCCTTCGAGGAGAAGCAAATTCAAGCGCTGGAAGAGCGGAACTCCACTCGGCTGAAGTCCGAGCTGGCAGAGTTTGAAAGTGAGGCTGATGAAAAAGAAAGAAAGAAAGACAGACAGAAAGAAGGAAGGAAGGAGGGAAGGAAAGGAAGCAGAAAGGAAAGAAAGCAAGGAAGGAAGCAACGAAGGAAGGAAGGAAGAAACACAAGAACGATAGATATAGCAAGAAAGATAGATAGAAAGCAAGCAAGCAAGCAAGCAAGCAAGGAAGGAAGGAAGGAAGGAAGGAAGGAAGACAGAGAGAAAAGAATAAATCAAAACATAAAGACATACAAAGAAAATACAGACATACACATAGAGAAAATAACTAAAGACAGACAGACACATAAAACAAATCAAGAAAGACACATATATACAAAGAAAGAGAGCTAAAGAGAAAGAAGGAAAGAGAAAGGACGAGAAAGGAAACGCAACATAAAAGTGTTTGGGCACCATTAATAAGAAACTTCGCATGTTCAGTTATTGGCCCACACGCTTCTTGTTGAGGCAGGCAGGCTGCGCATTGAACTGGAAGATTCCAGGGCAGCTTTGCGAACTGCGCAGCTGGAACGCCGAAGCAAAGAAGAGCAGTTTCTTGATCTGCATTAGAATCGCAGTATCAACCGCAGCTACACTCCCAATGTAGAACTTCTCATGTTGTGCTCGTCATGAGTTTACCAGTGCCCTGACATTTGACTCTGAGGCACGAGAGTCGGATCTCAGCATTGACTGGGTTGATGCATGAAGAGGCCATTCAAGCCGGTTGATGCAGCAATACAACTTGTCTAAGACTCACAGAGCACCTCAGATTCCGGGTGTGTTGTTGCACATCTTTTGATCAAGAGAGGTGTGTTGTTGCACTTGTTTTGGATGCCAGGTGAACAAGGCACATGAGAGACTTACAGTCACTGAAATGGCCACAACAGCAGCGCAAAGAACGCTGCAACTTGTAGAGGCAGGGTGCACATCGCTCCGGTTTGAAGGGAATGGGACTTACAGTCACTGGTTGTCAGTTTTCATATTCTCAAGCGTGAAAGGATGAGGAAGCAGGGAAAACGAGCAAGTCAGCAGATGAGCTCAATCGAATGAAGGACCGAGTGGGACCAAGGGCTTGCATGTATCTGTATCAGCATATGCATTCAGCTTTCACATGCTTTTATTATGCCTTCATATGTAAGATTTATTGGCTCAGGATTATGTCAGAGCAGAGTCAGAAGCATTTGACAAGTGCGAGTTCAAGCTGGAGAGCATCGAGAAGCGGGAAAAAACAAGGTAGTTTTCTTAGAACCCATTGCTTTGCTCTCATGTTTCGCATTGCTTTGCAACAACCTTTTCTCTCATGTTCTGGGCAGGTCCCTTTTCGAAAATGTGCAAGTCGAGTTCCTCCACAAGGTGCTTCGGTGCCAGCTCCGATGGAATTTGTCCTTTCGGATCCTTTCAACCAACAACTTCGAACTGAGTAAATTGAACGCATGTCTTTTTTGCATTCGTTGTGCCCATCCAACCAAAAGTCTCTAGCTGCTCTATACATTGCTTTGCTTTTTTTCCTTCAGTTTTTCATTTTTTGAGGAGAAGCGAACCAACGACGAGCTTCGTGAAGCCACTCTGCTTCGAAACGAGGCTGCACAAGCTGCAGATGAGGCACAGGTTCTTTTCGTTCGGCATTGTTTTTCTAAGTACAGAATCCCTAACCATTGCTTTTACTCTCTCATGCATCCTTTCGTGATTGCCTGGCTAGCTGGAACGATCCCCGAAGGGTGACGAGACCTTTTGCGAGGCCCTGGCTTTGCGCATCAGACTGGCCAGAGAGGACCAAGACCTCACATCTCGACAAGCCTCACTTTCAACGGCAGAGCAGCAGGTGGTGGACAGCCATTTGTAAAGCATTTCTGCAAGCATCGGTTCGATCAATATATACTGTAATATAATTTACACTATATAAGTGAATAAACAGGTATATTCAACTATGGCGATTCAGACATAACGTTTCAGAAACTAATGTGTGTTTCAGAAGCTATGTTTCTGAGACTACCTTTCAGAAACTACTTGTGTCAATGAATATTGGGTGAGGGGTGGGGCTGTGTCGACCTACATTGTGATGTGGTTTTGTGCTTGAACTTGCATGAGTATGGTTATGCGATATGCGGGGTGGGGTGGGGTCGGACTTTGTCAGCGTAAGCTGTGATTGTGACAAACACATTTACTTGTCTGGCACTGCGTGGACTGAAAGTGCAATCTTGATGCCAAGTTGTGCCTAATTCTTCGTTGTTGGTGACTGGATGTCCAGCTACGCTGCTGTGAACAAAAAATTGTGATTGGTGGTGATCAGGTCTCCTTGGCATTGCTACGAACATAAGATAATGTTCCGTTTTCCTTCGCAAGGAAGCAACTTGTTGGATGGCCCCTGAACTTCAGATTTGGCATCGCCATATCTTGATGCAACATTCAGGGCAAACCGTGGGTTTTGCCCCACAGTCAAAAATTCGGAACGTCAAGAACCGCCTGCAATTTGCGGTGTTCTATTGACTTTTGGTCTGCTGAATCAGTAGTTCCAAGATGCAGAAACCAGGCAGCAACACACACACATCCAAATATGTAAAGCATCATGTGTACATCGATGATAATGAATTGGTGACAAGTGAAGCCGATGACAATGTTGTGCAAGTGATGATAATGTTCTGCAACTGATGATCATGTTCTGTAACTGTAACTGAGAACCCCTCCGCCTCCACCACCCATCACCGACCATCCACCCGAGTTTAAGCACACCTGCATCGGCGATGACAATCTTGTGATACCAATGAAATTGTTATTGTGAGGGGCCGCCCCCACCCTCCATGGCTTGCAAAGTGGGCCTGTTTTATTTATCCTTTTTGTTTTGCATTTCCTAGGATGATCCTAGTCCTAGACGTGTGCTGAATGGAAGAGCCTATCATATGTTGTTCCCAACGTAAGGTGGCGACGACGCAAACCTGGCTCGGATCCAAAACAAGCGAAACCAGCCAGTGGGTCCCAATTTTTCCTTCCGAGTAACGGTTTATGACAGACATATTTTACGGATATTGTAGTTTCCAAAGCACAGTTTCCGACACATAGTTTCTGAATGTTTCTGAAACATAGTTTCCCAAACATGCTTTCCGAAACTGTTTTCGACCCTCCTTCCTGCTCATTTTCTTGCACAGGCTTCACAAAAGCTGGAGTTAGCAGCGGTTGAGCTAGACCGGGCAAGAATCTTGACCCAGGAGCTCACCAAGGACAAGGCGTTTTGTATACTGTAATATAATTGAGCTTGTTCGATAGCTCATTCTTGGAAGTCTAAATTCTGAGCATGACTCAGTGACAGATCATCCAACTACTCGAACGATGTCACGGCCTTTCCGATGGTCCAATGTCCTACGCCGAGGCGGAGGCTTTCAGCGAGTTGGCCGAAGCCAGGCGTGTGTCAGGAAGAGCTCAGCAAGAAAGGGAGCTTGCACATCAGCAGTCCTTGGAAGCAGAGCACCTTGGCGCATCTCATGCGGTGCCGCATCTCATGTGAGAGCATACCCGGCAAGGGGCTCCAAAGTCGTGGATTCTGAAGACGCAAATAGAAAACCCAAAGAAAGAGTATGAAAGAGTTAGCATTTATTTGATCCGTTAGCATTTTGGGAAGGGTTGGGCGAGACATCTCAGCAAGGATTCAGAACAAGGAATTACAACCAATGTCTTTAGCTTATTGTTTCTACTAGCTTCTTGTTACTACTAGTAAGGCACCTGTTACTACTAGCGTGGCACTTGTTACTACTTTGCAGCAAGACTCTTGCTTTTGAGAGACATGACATGACCGACTTTTGAGGATGGCAGCCTTTGAGGCGATGAAAGCCTGCGAAGCAGCAGACGAGGACAGGAAGAAGGTGTGCAGGGCCAAAGTCTATTGTTGCTACCATGTGATCAGCTTCTTGTTACTAGTAGTACGGCCAGGAGCTACTAGTAGCGTCCTTGCTCCTAGTAGTAAGGCCAGGAGCGCCTAGTAGTGTCCTTGCTCCTAGTAGCGATGCCCTTTGCTCCTAGTAGCTTCTTGTTACTTGTCCGAAGCTCTACGTGAGTCCTCCGATCTATTTTGCAGGTTGAGCAAGCCCTTCTTTCTGTGACAGAAGATTTAGAAAAGGCTGCACGCCAACAACGAGAAGGATTGGAACTTGCGGCAAAGGGCGAATCATCGTTGCACCGCATGCACATGATCGAAGAGAAGGTGCCTTCTGTCAAGCTGACAAGTCGGTTATTCTGTCAAGCCGCCACAGCTGACATTATTTTTCCTGTGGCTCTTGGCCTTTTCTCAACCGTCACAAGGCATCAAAGTTCGGTTTTGAAGTTGTTTGTTGCCAAGGTGTCCCAGTATAGCGAGGAGAATCAGAGATTGTCGCAAGCAACTTGAACAGATATTTCAGGATATTTCAGCAAGCCGTTCTGATAGAACTGATGGAACCTACTCACAATCCGTATCCAGGGGGTTGAGAAAGCGCCACTTACGTTATATATAGTTTGACTGAGTTTGACCAGATGCCAAGAAGAACTTTTTTCTGAATCTGATCAAGTCTGCCACAACCGACCTAAAATGGTTTGAGGTTCTGGCAACAGAGAGGGCAGCATGCAATGAAATCCGCAGCGAGAAGGCTGTGAATCCGTTGTGACAAGGGAGAACACACAAGAACTGCTCAAGGCTTAAGGCTTGGTTATGGAGCAAGCCTCTGGAAAGATGAGTATATTCCAAGGTGGTACAGGGTTGTGTGGATCAACACTATAGACTATGACTCATATATGTCATAACATGAATGAATGATTGATTATTAACACATAGAGTATTTAAACAACCCACTCACACATTTTAGTTTCACATGTCCGTTTTGCCAGAAGGATGCTCCATCCACGGTGAAACGATAAGGAGGAACATATGCGATAACCCTGCACATGCACAACCCTTGAGATGTCATATGTGTTTCATCTCCTTCACAAAGACAACGAGGAATGTTGTGTTGGAGTATGTATATTTATGCATCGAAATCGACAACCGATGTTTGCACCAGGGACGAAAACCGAAAGCTAACGATAACAACGAAAGCGCAGCGAACCTCAAACACTATCCCGTATACTCGGACTCAATGGCCCGCACATGTACAAGCTGTGCCATGGCGTCATGTTTACCAGTGCCACCCAGCACTGCATGTAGTGCACACGAATGTACACTACAAATTGCTAGTCCAAGCACAGCAAAAAGGATAAAGACAAAACACAGATAAGACCAAATTGGTATAGGGAAAGGTAGAGGGTTTTCTAGACAACCTCAAATAGGAAAGACGGAAACAGATAGAACAACTTGTAACACCTTCCTTTGGCAGGAACGCATGCAGCTCGAACTTCGAGATTTGACTCGGCTGACTCGCTTTGCATCTCCGCGAATGCGTGGACAGTCTGGAGTTGGCTGAAAAAGATTGATGCAACTGCTGAAGTGTTTCTTTTTTCTTATTTCATTATTTTTTTTCCCCAGATAGCGAAACTATGGGGTTCTTACTTCAAATAATAATGAGTTGCCCGTGCGCGTTTTCGAGACAGGTTGCTGGTGCTGGGTGCCGGTGTTGGTGCTGTGAGCTGGCTGTGCACATGGTGGAGACAGGTTGCTGGTGCTGGTGCCGGGTGCCGGTGCTGGTGCTGGTGCTGTGAGCTGGCTGTGCACGTGGTGGAGACAGGTTGCTGGTGCCGGTGCTGGTGCTGGGTGCCGGATGCCGGTGCTGGTGCTGGTGCTGGTGCTGTTGGCTGGCTGTGCACGTGGTGGAGACAGGTTGCTGGTGCTGGTGTTGGTGCTGCCGGGTGCCAGTGTTGGTGCTGGTGCTGTGAGCTGGCTGTGCACGTGAGACAGGTTGCTGGTGCTGGGTGGCGCGTGCCGGCGCTAGTGCTGGTGCTGTGCGGTGCCGGTGCTGGGTGCCGGGCGCCGGTGCGGGTGCTGGTGCTGGGCGCCGGGTGCCGGCGCTAGTGCTGTGAGCTGGCTAGGGTGGCGGTGGTGCCGGGTGCCGGAGCCGGGCGCCGGTGCGGGTGCTGGTGGTGGGTGCCGGGTGCCGGTGCTGGTGCTGGTGCTGTGAGCTGGCTGCGCACGTGGTGGAGACAGGTATATCTAAGGACATCTAAGGACGATTTACATGTTATGCATTGCTAGGGATTCTTGGAGGGTTGTTGTCAATCTCGTCTTCACCTCAGCACCTACGGTGTATGCAGGACTTGAAGCCACTCCTGCGTTTCCCTATGACTTCCCGACGAAGCAATGAAAAGGGCTCCATCGGAAGGGGCAAGGATTAGAAGCATCGGTGGCCTTGTACCGACTAGGTGGGTTGGTTTGTTTGGTTGGTAGATTGAGGGGGTAGAGGAGATACACCCAAGTGTGTCAAAAAGGTTCCTGTCAATGCTTTGGACCCGCTGACATTGCAGGGCGCTGTCCAATTCGCCAGATAGTGAAGCTATGGGGTTCTTACTTCAAATAACAATGAGTTGCCCGTGCGCATTTTCGAGACAGGTTGCTGGTGCTGGTGCTGGGTGCCGGTGTTGGTGCTGGTGCTGTGAGCTGGCTGTGCACGTGGCGGAGACAGGTTGCATGTTTTTGCTATTTGGGGTCTATGCTGGTGTACTTTTTTCTCATACTCTCTCTCTCTCTCTCTCGTTGCCTCAGTGCCTCTATCATTCTGTTTGTTTTCTTCTTTTTCTTTCTTTTTTGAGGAGGCCTTGAAGAGGTAGCGGGAACGGATGGGTACAGAGGTAAGCTGCAGCCATCTTCAGTAAGTAGTAGCGTGCGAAGGGTTTCAGGAGCTTCCTTGAAGAAGTCTTTGAGGAGCTTCCTTGATTGGTTTGGTTCGACTTTTTAGGGAAACCTAATTTTCATGCGATGCAGGCAGCTGCCCAACGGATTGGCAGCCGTTGTCTAAGTCAACACATTCCAAGATGAGTTCCATTGAGTTCCGTCGTGCTCTGAAATGTTTGGTTTGCCAGCTGAGGTTGGGCACAGGAGCTTCAGAAGCGCACAGTACCATGCTTGGCAGAGCAGCAAGAGGCAAAGCTTGGAGATGAGCCTGGATCGATAGCAAGAGATCCACAAAGTCACATGTGTGAAGTCAGGAGAACCTGCCAGTAAGCACACATGAGTAAACATGAGTACAGACACAAGTATCACAAATGAGCCTACTATTGCAGGCAAAAGCTATCCGTCACAATAGCCTTTCGAGTTGGAGCCAGGTGGAGCGCTGCTATGCAGCGCCACCGGGTGGAGACCAGCTTCGATGTGGCCCTGTGGTGGATGCATATGTGCTCCCAGAACTTCACAAGTGAAAGAAACAACATAAGTAAACTTCAGCAGTCATAAAGTTACGAGGAGTTGGAGTTAGCTTGTGTGTGATCGAGTCGTGTGCGAGTAAGCAAGAGAGCAGTCAGGGGGTAAACCAGTCCGGAACGCGTCCAATGGGTGCGGGGTAGAACCCTAAACCCAATTCTGGTTGGTCTTTCGGAGGTAGCTTACACCACCCTGCCATTGGGGAGCGGAATCAGGATGCGAGACGCAATAGCAGGGTTGTGGAAGGTTGGCAGAGATTTACAGTCTGCCACGGAGTTCTGCAGCACTAGGGGAATGGGAATCGGAGAGTTCAATCTCATTGTCGGGGCTGCACAAAAGTGAAAAAATAGTCACAAGAAGAGACTTCTAGAGAAAGTTGCCAAAGTAACTATATAGTACGTCATTCATTCTCCCTTCGAAAAGCCTTGGCTTCGACACTTCATTGAGCCGCGGCAAGCAAGGGTTTCCGCTTGATGAGAACTTGTCCCCGAGCGAGCCCCTATCATTGACAGGTACGGTGTGCGAAAGCGTGAGCAAAGTTTCATCAGTTTCAAGAAAGTGGACAGACAAAAAGTGTTTTCCCGCCACTTGAGTACAAATGCATGCCGCGACTGCCAGTTGACTCAAGCTAGTCCCCGAGTACAAAGTTGCCCTTCTAGCCTGCCAAGAATCATGATGGTTGTTTACTGTAAATAAACTATCTATATGTGGCCATTTGTCCAAGTTTGTCCAGCTGCGCTGACAACTTGAATGAATACAACATGTCCAAAGAGAGTCAAAGGGTCGTATCTGCAAAGTGCACTGAGTTAAAACTAGAAAGATCAATGCATTTTAAAATTAAATTCCCTAAAAATCCAGGAACCAAATCATTAGTACGTGAGCTATCCTGCGTCCACTTACTAGAAGCTAACCAGTAGCTAGTAGCGAACTAGTCGCCCTTACTTAATTGAAGTAGGGAGACGGGGCCTCGGGCAGAAAAAGAAAGAGATTAGATATAAATTCATCTCTCAGCAGTTTGGCTCAATTCAGGGTTTTGCGAACTGCAGGAAGCACCTAAGCACCTTCGTCGTTATAACTCGGTGGAATCTTGATACTCTGTTGTGCAAGCACTTGTTTTCAGAAGTATAAAAGTATATGTTTTTTTATCAATAAATAGAAAGAGACTCGCTCCTTTGTAGCAAGAGTCATTGAAGCATTGATGAAGTGACACATTTGTGCACTAGGCAACTTTCTCAGACGGTTCCAATCTTCGAATGCTCCTCGCCCTCAGCATTTTCTTAAGCAAGCAGCAAGTCCTGGACGAGCCTAGCAGGCCTGAGGCTGGGGCAAAGTGGTACCGTTGAATTAGTTCTGCTTCTTGGGATCAGCATTCTGTGATGCTTTCAGGTAAGGCCTGATGGCCGCAATCCAAATAGGACTTAAGAACTCTTAGGCCTTGAACTCGGCTTTCAAGCTCAACCAAGCAGCGTTTTGGCTCAAACCAGTCAGCCTGTCTTACGAGACTAGGCTCAGACCTTAGCTGCCTTAGCTTCTACTTCCATCAGTTTGCTTTGTCTCTGCCTTTCTCAGGTTTCTCAATGGCGATCATGCAAGGCCAAACTGGTGCTGCGAGAACGGTACAAAACTGCAAAAACAAGCAGCAAATTCACTAGAGTTCATATAAGAATCTCTGACAGCTTACTTTTCACAAACAAGTTTCCAAGAATTCTTGCTGCTGTTCATGTTTGTTCCTGAAGGTCGCCGAGTGGCGCTGGTGGCAATTGTACTGCACTTAGAGTTGCCCAAAGCATGAGAAAGGCAGAACTTTTCCGGTTCCACCAGCTAGGTGCAATGGGTCTACGTGTCGGGGAAGGGAAACCCTGACTTCGATTGGCATGGCGATTGCACTGATCGCTTTCGACTCTTGGCTTTCGCTGTCGTCGTTTACATGTTGGTCTCACAGTGACTGGCACCTCCTGACAGCCGAGGATACCCGAAGAAGTTCCCAGTGGGAGGAGATCCTCAGTACTACAACGGCATTACGATCAACATGACCTGCTTCAAGAACGACACCTTTGACCGATACTTGGCACAGCTTAGCCCAGAGGTGAGATCCAAACAACAAAAGCAGGCCCATGCATTTCGTTCTGTTTCTTGGTTTACTCTTGGGCATTGCTTGACCGGAAAGAACAATATACTGTATGTGCCTGATGGATGGTCCAGAGGAACTTGTTGATTGATACGCTTGTCACGCCATTGCGGAAGCTTGGAAAAAGCCACTCTTGGTCAGGTTACTCCACTGGAAATCCAGTTTTCTTCATTGGCGATTGGGGAGGTTGTTGGCCAAGTGTCAGACACAATTTATGTTTTCGCACAGTTTTATCATTTGTTTTAGCTTTCCATGACTCCATCCCAACCTCAAGCCTCTGCGACCCATGAGGTCTGAACTGGGGAATCGGTCCTGTTCCTGCAGACCATACCAAGACTCATGATCCTTTCAAGCGACGCCTCTTGGCAAATGCTTGTGCAGCTTGCTCTTTTCAGGTTGGAGGAACATCACATGTCAGGGTTCTTTGTCATTTTGGAAAGCTTTGCGACCAGGTGGCTACAACTGGGCTGTGGATCACAACGCACAGTGGAGGGTTTCAGGAGCATTTAATGCTCGTGGCAAATGGAGAAATCCAGACTATGTCTCTTGACATCGTTTCAAGATCACAAACCAACGTGAACCTTCAGTATGCATCACTCATGGACATCTATGAGATCCACTAAGAACAAGTGAAACATTGACGATGGAGAACGCCACATTTGTTTTAAACTTCCAATCCTCTACTTTGCTTTTCAGTCCAAAGGCCAAGCTGCGCATTGAGAGGTGAAGACAGGAAGCACACACACACAACTTTCAGAAGCTGAGCAAACTGTATTCCTTCCCAATCAAAGCCAATTCGTCACATTTGCATTTGGGCCTAGTAAAACTCAGCCACAGCTCGAATGCGTTCAACTGAAGAGCCTACGAGGGCAGAGGCAAACGATGCTTACATCGCGGGTGTGGAAGCTTTGGTTGGGATGCCTCATGATGCGAGACACAAACTGCAATGATCCAACAAAGTGTATTGTGAATGCGATAGCGATGGCCTCCAACCTACTAGCGATGGCCTCCAATCTAGTAG